TAATATATGAACTCTTTTGTTTTTAGCATGGTTAATGTTTGAAGACAGTAAGAAAAATATCCAATAAAAATATGTCTGGATCAAGAATTAAAACAACTTAAAATAGTCTAAATCAGAGATTACAACAGTTTTGTTTTGGTAAATGATTTTTAGTTTCAGTTAAGAAAATCATGAGATTCGTAATTGTTGATACGTTAAGTAAATAAAAATAGTTCGAACATCAGATAGTTTGTGATATATTTTGAATCAGAATGTTCAAAATACCAATTGTATGGAGTGCTGGAAAAAACTTTTTGATTGAAATATGGATTAAATTATGTGGTTTAATGTGTTTAAAAGTGAATCATGAATGCAGTTTTATTAGTTCTTACTTATTATGAAACATTTTAAAAATAGTTGATAACTCGATATTCAATAATTTTATTTATTTTCTAAGTGATTAACTATCAGCTGATTTGATAAAACTAAATTAACGTGTTTTCTAGGTCTACGTAGAAATAAAAACTAGTCACAGAATCGTTTAGTTTTGTCAGAAAAGAACTAATTATGTATGTATTTATGTATGTAGCACTAATCGGGAGTGGAATGCTTCCGAACAGAAGACTGAGTAGATTAAAATGAAGAGAATAGAGAAGAAAATTGAAAGCAATCAAAATGATAACAAAGATGAAAGAATGACGAAGTTTGTAAGATTCAATTCAAAGATGTGTAACTGATATACTTAATATATGCTTATCATATTTTGTAAAACCACACTGTAACTTCGCACCAAACAATGAACTGCTCATTATCACCAAGTCCTCTTTCGCTATAGTAAGAATAAAACAGTTATCTAAGTGAGCTAAACAACTTCTTAAAAAATATTTATTTGTTTCTGCCTGAATTATATCCTCTACATAATGGATTTTTTATTAAAAGTTATTATAGTCTGATTTCATAATGACGGGATTAAGGCTTTTTTAGAACATAGATTTCTTTCCATTTTTGAACTGTACACTGTTTGTCTTTGTAAAAAAATAGAATGATCTGAATTTTATGCCCAAGAATTTTGCTGTTATTTCAAAGGAGTTAGGGATCAATCATTTGACAAATCACGCGTTACTCTAGTTATATCCTAGTGAAGATCAAATTACGGGTAACTTCTGGGAACTACTAATGTATTAGAATTATATATATATATATATATATCCCTATCGTATAACTGTTCAGTAAATAGATTATGTATATCTATATTCCTCTTATTATAAGCTTCATTTTTACTTATAGGTTATTATTATTATACTACTTACTATTCTTATGTTCAGTTTGTTGATTACAGTTTCTCACGTTCACAACCACTTTTGAACTTGATGTTGTATAAATATTTTTCCTATTTTATGGTGTGGTGCAGCCTGCTTGGTCGGTATATAAACCAAGTATGTTTGAAATAAATTATTTGCATGGTGAAAGTTGTTATTAGTGTTCTGGAGTCCACTGAACGGACTAAGCGAGCAAAGGACCAATAAGAACGCTGCTCATACCTGTTGAACGTCAATGGTTTGGCACAGTACTAAGATTGTATAGATCTCATTTCAATTGACGAATAAATCACGTGATGATTAGCCGGGCTTAAAGTCACAACAACTCTAATCAAAACTGAGAAGGCTTTTAGATAGAACAGTTAAAAGATACTGGTGCTTATAAAATTCCGTAACAAAATTCAAAGAACTCACAAGGAGTAGGGTATTACTTTTAAAGTGAATGAATATAGTCAAAATTAAGATATTTTTGGTCTCATCTCAAATTAATCCAGTATAAAACTTTATTATAGCTAACAACTTTTAACAGAAGAAATATTTGAGCATATTTTACTATGATATCCTTTAATTTCATGTTCAAGTATATTCGATTGTTCCCACTTATGTTCACGTTCACTACAATACTATTATAGCAACTCACATTCAATTGAGTTTGCTCTCACCTAATTCGGTTAAGCCCTTTTATTAACTTATTAAACGGACAAAGTCACCTGCACTATAATAACTTATTGTATCCTTATTACTGTTGCGAATGTATGTACCTTTATTATTGTTATCCTTGTATGAATATGTATACTCGGCAAGCCTTACTGCCTACGCATTTATTCACGCTACTAGCTTTACTATTAACCGCTTAATTGATTCGATGATTCATTAATTTCACTATGTATATATATGTCCATGTTATTTATATTCATGACTCGCTCGATCACTCGCTCTTGCCCTTGCTCTCTCTCGCTCGCTCGCTTGCCTGTTTGCCTTTCGGCATAACTATTTCATGCTTGCTTAACGCATCTAGAATATTGGATATCGGTGTGTGGTCCCTTAATAAACGTAATTAACGCTTCGTATTCGCCTTCTGATTAATATACCGTTGGAGCATTATTTGGTGACGGTTACCGAGACGAACTGTATACGGAGTTTAAGGAATATATCGAACACCGACCACCACACAATATCTTCAGTTCTGATTAATGTGATATTGTAACTGTGATAAATTAGAACCAATGATATATCATTTGATATTAATTAAAAATGTGAGTAGACAATTTATATTGAAAACATGTGATATAATACTGTGGTAATTTTTCGATCAATTTAAATGAAAAACTACATTTTTTTGTTTAGATGAAAATAAAAATTTGTGTAAGTTAAACATAAAGTTTGTTAATGAACGTGAGAACGTATTAAAAGTGAAATAATATTGTATGAGATAAAACCTTATTTCACATTAGTTTTTGTAATGCAATCAAAATTTAAATTCACATAAAATGTATATTACAAAATGTTACATCATTTCACTTAGTGAAATTGTGGTTATCAATATCGTGTATGTCATATCCTTCTTAGTGCAAATGGAGTCCGTCAGGGAGCATCAGTTTCTTCAAGATTTCAAATACATCTTGCTGACGAGTGCAAAGTAGCACGAAACCTAGGTCCAAGGTTTCCTGGTGACTAACTCCAACCAACATCTTTATATATATATATATATATATATATATATATATATATATATATATATATATATATATATATATATATATATATATACATCAAAATGTGTCCGATGGATGAAGTATGTTTCCATAACTTCAATTCCATGTTGTAATTTTAGCAACTTTCAAGATTGACTTTTAATTAAGTCAATTTATGATCTGGTGTTATATTTTCCCTATCTATCTTTTGATGAATACTTACGCTATTAACAATCAAACGATTATTAAACTTTCCTTGTTTTAAAAATAAAAAAATCTTTAATACCTTTGTTTATTTAACCTCGCTGTCACCATGTTTAACTGAAGTATTATTATCATCCTGTTAAGATAAGTATATATATTTGCGATTGTACAGCTTTGAAAATGAATTCGCCGGTAAGAGAACTCTCCGCTGAACTAATCTTTCTTATTTAAATATTTGTATGTAGCGATTATTCTTTTGTACATTATTCCGCTTTTAATTTAAATTCTAAATACAAATTCAAAATGCACGATTTTCTTATTAAAGTGTATGTTATTCAACAAAGAATTATAATTCAAAAGAAGCCCAGTCTTAAGAAAGACTTGGAAAATTACTTAATTCTAATATATTATTTAAAGCTTGTGTTTTATAATCTTTATCACAAAATTTAAATTCTATGGTAAATAAACTATGAAACATTTTTATCCAAAAGCTGTCAATAAACTAAACTGTCACTTAGAATTAAATGTCATGACAACAGTTTGTAACCATATGGTAATTGATTCTTATCACGTTTTCTTACATTATCAAAATCATAGGCTTTTTCATAATTAATTATAAAAGATAGCTCCTATATTTGATGTACAAGTTCATGGAACCCTGGACAACTTCAAGGCTAATTAATCAATAGTAATCTTAGTTATCGAATTATATAATTTCACTATTGTACTTACGAACATTCGTAGTCAAATGTAATTGTCTCTGTTATCCTTATTCACAAATCTTTGTATTATTATTGTTATTATTATTACTAGTTAAACATCATTATTAATCTTCCCTATATATGGATCATTCACTTCGCATTCGACCATAGTATTTGATTATACGGTTTAAGTTAAAAGAATAAAAAACGAAATTGAATAACTCGAATAATTTTTTTGAATACAATAATAAGTTTCAAGTTTATTAAAAAAAAATTGATGAATATGTAAAATTCATATCTAACACTTGAGATTTCGCTTATTTGTTTAACTATGCGTATGAAGAACTTACTGCAGTGACCCCAATATATGACTTAATCTTATAGAAAAATATATGGAATCATATAAAACGTTAGTATTATAGTTATTTAAGCTGAAGTATTATGGCATGCTATTCTGAAAGGTCGTGATCGAAAGGGATGCTCTCTATTTCGACTTTTTGTTAACATTTCAAATATGCCAAATTAAGATGTTTAGACTATGGGATATTTTACGTTGAATGAAAGTAAGTAGGATATAATCTATGATATGGAAAAAAACTGAGCATATTTAAAGATCTAAAAAGTAGTCTTATTTTTTCTAGAAATCATTTTAACTCATACATAATTTAGATGACTGCTCTCAAGTTGTTCTTAACCTACGGAGATGTTGATTGTGCTAGTTAAGTAATGGAACATATATACTACCTGACTTGATAGGATAATATGTTTAGTTTTAACTTATCGTTTCTAAAAGAATTACTGATATAAATAAGTAAAACATTTATAATCCTCCCTTGTGGACAACATGAATTTCACAAGTAGTTAACATAGTCCACTAATGTAACAAAACTAAATTTTTTAACAAGGAAGAAATGAAGAAAACAAAATGAATGATCTCAATCAAGCAATTTATTTATGACTTTCGTCATAAATGTCATACAAATTCGATTCCAATATTTCTATAGGAAGTCAATATCATCCTGTGACAGAATAATTATTTTATCATCAATATCATTCTGCCCACGTTGACCTAGAAATTATTTAATATCAGGGAACAAGTGGGTAAAACGTACTTTTTTTATTAAGCTTGTCCATTAGAAAAAATATATATAGAAGAGACATATATATCTTTACATTTCATTCTATCCTATAAGAATAATATTCATTTAGCATGTAACTTATGATTGGTTAACAGTTTTATGATTTTACAATATTTGGTGTATTACATAATTGGTGTAAAGCAACGAATAACATTGATTTATAAGTTATGATAAATAGGGAATAAAGCCTTGACTTGGAAACAAAAAAATAACACATTTTATATCATCAATTTTTTGTTTGTTTGTTTGTTAATAGTTGGAGTTCGCTAATAAATTTTTATTATTTCGATTTTAAATTTTATTCTATCATGTCAACAATGATGTGTGCAAAATGTGCTCGACCATTTACAAGTGGAAGCATTTTAAGTGCATTAGATAAAAAATGGCATCCTGAATGCTTTGTATGTACCATTTGTAAAAGAACATTAGCTGATCAATCATTTCATGTGAAAAATGATGATCCATTTTGTGCAAATTGTTGGAAAGAAAATTTTCAACCACGTTGTGCTGTAAGTTAATTTAAAAATATTTTATTATTATTTTTTTTGTTGTTGTTGTTGTGCTTGTTTAATGAATTATACTAACAACTGTTGTAATTTAATTCAATTAAAATGAATCTAGTTTTTAGTTTATTCAATATAGTTAATACCAATATATTGCTGTATATGGAGTAGAAATAGATTTTAGTTACATTTTCACACTGTGTAGAAGTATTAAATTTACTTGATGTTGTTTACTTGTATCTTCTCATTGTCCTAGATTCCACTGCTAGCCACTATTCATCTTTGCTTGTGTATAAGATTTGTTTTCGGACTAGGATTGATCTAGAATAAAGTACTGATTTCTTTTTTTTTAATGCTATGTTTAATATTATTGTGTCATAATGTTATAGTGCTTTATTTTAAGCGTGAAATATAAGTATATCACTCTTCTGATTAGACTAGTTAACTAACCTGTTCAAACTTATGGCATAAAATACACAGAATTGGATTCATACTTAAATGTTATTGGTTATGTTTTTTAATGAATATGTTTATTGTTTGATAATTCCTCTGAGCAAGTAGCCGGTAACTAAAGGTTAGTTATACATTATCATATAAAGGATAATGATTAGTTCACTGTAATGTTTTAGATATAAAATTACTTAATAAAACAAATACAGGAATACGAATGTTTAAATTGAGTTCTTTTGGAATATTCTACATGTTACATCTTAGCTACACCTTGAATAACACGCTAAAAAGTAATAAAACATTATCACGTAATGTATGGTAGTTTTTCAATACTTCAGTTGATAAATACTAGTGAATATGGCAAGTAAAATAGTATATTTATGCAATTCTATGAATAAGAAATAACGTAATCTGTCAGTAAGCTTATTTCATGTAAGATACAGTTTCAAGATAAATATTTAAGTAATCTTTGATATATTATTGTTAACAGGCTGTAAACAAGCAACATTCTAAGCAGTAGAATATTACTGTTTACAAGTTCTATCTAGTCTGTTTTTATTGTTAACTTGATTCATATAAAAATGTTTTGAATCAAATCTAAGATATTTTTAGTAAGTCCCTGGTTGTTACCAGTTGAACTACAATGAGTTTAGGTTATATAACAAAATGATTATAAAAAATTATTATTTTCGTTTTCATCTTATTCAATCTCTTTATCTAACTATATGTGATCAAGTTTATGGATTAAACAGTTTTGGCTTTATATTTTTACATATCTAACCTTTTTATTTATAAGTCTAAATATACCATTTGTAGTGACATTTATAACCATGGTATTAACTATACAAGTATTATGCGTACGTAAAATATAGTGTAATATCGGTTACTATGTTAAGCCCACATAACTTATTCTAGCTTCTGAACTGGTAAATTTATCCATTTTTCTTGAGTCACATTTTGACCTTTTCAATTATTCGCTTATCAACCTTGACTGCTTTAATATGAGCGTATGCGTGTTCATTTCTTATTCTATTCATCACATGTCTGTAACTTATTTGTGTGACAATAAATATCGATTAATGCTTGGTTAAATCGAGTTGACACACACGCCTTCTCCACTGCGCGTCATCTCGCTTCACTCTCTCCTTTTCGCTTCCTTCGCTTCGTCCCTATAATTGTCTGTCCAGATCAATAAGTGTACAAAATATATGCATTCAAAAATTCATTCTCGTTTTTGGCTTATGTAATTCTGTTATTCACCAACACGATTGAAATCGGTGGTTATACACGAGGATAGACGATATATATTTCTCAAAAGCAATCAGTAAAATCCAACTGGAGTCTGATTTAAAGTCACCAAAACAGAAACACCATTACTGAAACTTCTTTAAAATGTCGTTTTTTTCAAACTATACTTAGAGATAATGGGAATGAATAAATATTTCACCCTAAAAGACGATGTTTCCCTCAATACTTACAGCAATCTGTATTATATATTTGAATGTTTCAAAATAGTTTAAGCATGAATATTAAAGGCAGCTTGTAAGAAGTTAAAATTTTGATAAAAATTACAAACTAACTGCTCAGTTAATCAACTTTTAAGTAGGTGATTCATATTTGTTTCCAAGTTAAGCATAATATCTGAAAAAATCGGTAAACTTAAGCAGCATTATTATTTACCAGTTATAAAGAGAACAATAAAATAAACAGATTAAAAGCTGTTACATATTAATAACTGTAATTTGATGCATGCAACAAAGTGTAGATACTATTGTTGCTATGTCAAATATGAAAAAAAATTAGTCATTAGAAGGACTCTAAACAATATGTAGAATTTGATTGGACTAGTAGTTGACAATTGATTCACAATCCTCTAATTAGCTGATCATTTGGAAATGTTCTGTCTTACAAAAAAGATAATATATTTGTCGTTTTCTTTAGTTTATTAATGTTTATTACATTTTTGTAACACGGACTTGTTTTTTGTTGTATATATATAGGTAGGTAGGTAGATAGATAAAGAGATTAAAGAACATAGCAGCAGGCATAAAATTTATCGAAAAGATTGTGAAACCAAGGTCTGAAATCATTTTATAGTTTGCTGGAATGTGTGCTTAATTGCCAGGTAATAACATGCTAAGTATGAATAGTTGTTTGTTGTTTCATTGTCCCGCTAACACTTCTTTATTAATCCATAGTGTATTGATTAATTATTACACAAAGGCATGTGTATAAGACCAATGTCCAGAAGACAGAGTATCAGATAGCAATTGACATAGTATTCTTTTTCTTACCCCACTTATCCTATGCGTTATACAATTCAATATCTATATACATAGTAGATTAAACTGTAGATGTGCAAAAAATATTTAAAACCATTTGATTTATCACTTATAGTTTTTTATCAGTTCCAGTTAAAACATGGAAGCACATTTAAATTTAGCTAGACAATGTAGACTACTGATGTTTCTCTATACTATTTTATTCAAGTGTGTGGTTTTCGATATGTTTAGAACCATACTTCTGAATTGTTAAACTTAAATAACGTGGATCTTGAGGCCCGAATTCCGATTCAATCTAAACCTAAAATGATTGATTAAATATTTAGATTGTTCTATTTTTTTTACCTCTCAAGCTAAAATTATTCTTCAACTCATGTTAATGTGTAATTGAAAATTCAATGAAAAATCACATCTAATAAAATAATCTAAGTACTTTTATGAGTATATTAACACTCCTGGTTGCAGATGTTTATTAATTGATCGACATTAATGTTTTGTTTATTACAAATTACCTAAACATTCAATAATCACAATATTGTAAAAGAAAGTTGACGTCCTAAAATGGATTTCAATGATTTTCGTTTACTTTTACGTAAAGCATTTAACGACGATGAAATAAAACCTACAGTACACACTATATTTAAAAGATGAAATATTTAAGTTAGACTCATTAAACAAAAACTAAAAAAGTACCAAGCTAATTCGGTTGTATTTCTAAGCAGAATATCGATAGAAAGTGAAATCGGATACTAAATTTCAGTGAATGTTCAGGAAGTGAATTCAATGTATATTAATTATCAGTTGATAACTATATCTATTTCGCCAAAAAAACGTAGGGTATTAGCTAAATAACATGGGGTATAACTGGGTTTCTGATCAAAATGAATGAACAGACTAGATTGCTTGTAAAGATGTCAATGAGCAGACTAAATGTCATTCTTTATTGAGATCATAAAAACTGTTTGAAGGGGAAATCAATTAAACAGTACAGAATAATAATGTACAAAATGTTTTAACAACCAAATGTTTTACAGATTATTAAGGACATAACCAGATGATATTTGGAACTTTCTGTTACACATAAATAATGATTACTGAACAAAAAATCGGTTAATTTCAACTAATACCTCTTCAGATTCTAATGTTTTTAATTTAACTGTATAACCTTATTGTTAGTCATTTCAGCTCTATGTGCACTGTCATTTGTAATCAACATACATATAAAAACAGGGTAACTGTAAAAACATTTTTGTACAGTGAAACACTCAGTTTTATATTGTACAACATTATAAAGATATTCATTTGGGCCCATTTGTTAATAATCTTTATTTATGCCTAATTTATATTTCAAATTATTCCAATCATTGATCAAAAACCCAAATGTTCTGAATAAATATATCATTTTAAGTTTAAACTCTCAGGAATTACCCATTTCGTGTTTTGCATACATGTTTCAACGAATGACCTTTTACTTCTATAATGAGCAATTTAATAGTTGACCATTAAACAAAATAAATCTTGTTTTACATCTTCGGTTGTTTTTTCGTTTCTTATTATAGTATGACTACCAATCAATGATGACAATTGAAATCCATTTACTTAAAATATCTTTTCTTGTTTTTTTTTTACCCTAAAACTTTGTTTATTTTTGAATGGACGATCATACTACTTATTTTAACCGTATTTAAAAATCATTTCCGGAAATAAAATAAAGTAGAATTAGAGCATAAAAATCGGTTTCAATAATAAAAACCTTGTTATTAAGCTAATTCAATATCATTGAAATGTTAAATTTAAGTGATGGATTATATTAGTAGTACATTAAATCTTTAAGTTACATGTATTCAGTTTTTTTATGTTTACTAAGCACTTGTTGGCGTCATTATTATAAATCATTGTGAAATTTCAATTAAGTTTAATGTGAGATAAAAGAGTGAACATCTTTAATTAGATTACTGAATATAAAACCAAAAGATTATACACTTAAAGATTAAAAATGTATTATCATATTAATATAATTATCATGATAATTAATCGGAAAGAGAAATATATAAACACATGATATATAATGTGCACTGCTGAGGAGCCACATACTAGGACGAAACGGCGGTTCAGTACTTTTAGGTTTCCCAGGGTGGTATAACTTTAATCGACTCAAGAATTCAGCTATGAAAATAAGTATTTATTATGAAAAAATACAGTGGAAAATAATAATCTGAATGTGTAATTTATTAATTTATTAGTATTTGGACTACTTACTTGCCTAAGCCTGCG